TTGAGCCCATTTAATCATACAATCTTTAACCAATTCTGTTTCCGAATCAAGTTCTATCAAAACACTATATATTCTCCTAATATGGGCTCTACTTTGATCTTTAATCTGTTTTGTCAAGTTCACATCATCTACCGTTAAGCCCAATTTTTGATCTATATGCCATCTCTCAACCAATTGAAAATATAAAAACCAGGACTGGGGTACATTATCCTGTCTTAACTCTTCCAATGACTTAATTTTCCAGTCCTGTCCTCTTAATATAAGTAGATCTTTATAAACAATACCTTCTAATTTTACACCTCTTATGATTCCTTGTATTGCATGTTCCGGAATAGCCCACATTGGAATTTTTAAATTTACCTTATAAAAATACTTTTTCCAAAGTCTCAAAAGTGCAACCCTTAAAATGTGAGATTTAAAAACCCGATCAATTTTCTTATCAAAAAACAAATAAGCATGCCATCCATAATACAAATCCCAACCTTCAAGTATCAAAATATCTCTATTAGTTAACTTAATCCAATCACTGATCCAAGTTAAAACCACTGCTTCATAATACAATTTTAAATTAGGAGCTTTAAGTCCCCCTCTTTCCCGTGCATCTTGCAAAATTTTAAATTTTACCCTAGGTTTTTTCCCCTGCCATATAAACCTATTGATGCCTCTCTGCCACTCTTCCAAATTTGAATCCTTTTTTAAAATAGGTATCATCTGAAACAAGAAAAGGAACTTTGGAAGAACATTCATTTTTATAACTGCAATTCTTCCCAATAATGATAACTGTAATTTCTTCCAATCCATCAAATCCTTTTGAACTTTTCTCCATAACTTATCATAATTATTTTTATACAATTTAACATTAGAAGCAGTGATATCAACACCCAAATATTTCATTTTTTTCACTATTTCAAAACCAGTTATATTACTTAAGATTTCTATATCTTTCATAAACATATTTTTAGATAATATTTTAGTCTTATTATTATTTACTTTAAATCCAGACACCTTTCCATAATGTGCCAATATCTGTATCAAATTTCTTGCCGAGTCAGTTGGTTCCGACAAAGTAAAAACCAAATCATCAGCAAAAGCTCTAAGCTTATAGTTATTGTTACCCAAAGTTATTCCTTTTATAAGTGAAGACTCCCGGATCTTGATTAATAAAATCTCCAAAGTCAAGATAAACAATAACGGTGATAATGGACAGCCTTGCCTTGTACCTTTTTCAATTTTAATTGAATCTGTCAAACCACCGTTTACAATCACTTGAGCAGACTGTAGTTGATAGATAGCCTTTAACGCTGATGAAAATCTATCCCCAAAATTCATTCTATCAACCAGCCGTAGCAGGAATTGCCAGTCTAACTTATCAAAAGCCTTTTCAGCATCCAAGAAGATAAGGGCCGCCGGGATTTGGTTATTTTTATCCAAATACTCCAACAAGTTCACAATTTGTCTAACATTGTTCTTCATATATCTTCCATTTATAAATCCAGACTGATCCACATGAATAATCTGTTTCATTACTTGCATTAGTCTATTAGCTAACATTTTTGCAAAGATCTTATAATCCGTATTCAATAAGGATATTGGCCTATAATTTTTAGGCTGAGTCAAATCTTGATCCTCCTTTGGTATAAGTGAGATAAATGCACACCTCCAAGATGGTGGTACTTGTCCCCCCATTAAAATGTCATTAAAAAGACATCTCAAGGGTTCTAACATTTCTTCTGATAGTTTTTTATAGTAAATTGCAGTAAACCCATCTGTACCAGGGGCCTTACCAACCTTCAATTGTTTAAATGCCTCTGCAATCTCTTCCGACGTGATCAAACCATTCATCAATCCTTTTTGATCCTCAGAAATACCAGGCAAATTTGCTTGTTGTAAATAATTATCTATTTCATCAAATTGTATATTCTCAGAGGCATACAGGTTAGAAAAATATTCCAAAAAAGCCCTTTTAATCAATTCTTGCTGAAAAACTTCTTTACCCTTATAGTTCATTTTCTCAATAAGTCTTTGTTTCTGTTTCTTGCGTAATTGGTATGCTAACCATCTTCCAGGTTTATTTGCGTTACAAAATGTATTATGTTTCATATATTTCAAATTAGTAGCAATTTGATCAGAAAGCAACATGTTAAATTGTTCTTTTAACATTGCAATAGATGCCTTTAAATTCTTATCCATTGGATTTAAGGAGAAAGCTTTTTCCTTTGTTTTTATCTCTTGCTCCATATCTTTATACTTTTGTTGCTGTTTTCGCTTATAAGCAGAGTTCATTGAAATTAAGGCACCCCTCATGACTGCTTTGCTTGCATCCCAAACCATCGATATAGAGGTGCCTTTATTCATATTCAACGTAAAAAAATCTTTTAAATGATCTTTAAGTTTCTGCACATTTGTTTCATAGTTCAATAAATTCTCATTTAATCTCCAAGTCCTTCTACTACCTCCATCAGTTGAAATCTCCATCCATACAGGACTATGATCTGACAATATCTNCAGGAATTGCCAGTCCAACTTATCAAAAGCCTTTTCAGCATCCAAGAAGATAAGGGCCGCCGGGATTTGGTTATTTTTATCCAAATACTCCAACAAGTTCACAATTTGTCTAACATTGTTCTTCATATATCTTCCATTTATAAATCCAGACTGATCCACATGAATAATCTGTTTCATTACTTGCATTAGTCTATTAGCTTATATTTTTGCAAAAATCTTATAATCCGTATTCAATAAGGATATTGGCCTATAATTTTTAGGCTGAGTCAAATCTTGATCCTCCTTCGGTATAAGTGAGATAAATGCACACCTCCAAGATGGTGGTACTTGTCCCCCCATTAAAATATCATTAAAAAGACATCTCAAGGGTTCTAACATTTCTTCTGATAATTTTTTATAGTAAATTGCAGTAAACCCATCTGTACCAGGGGCCTTACCAACCTTCAATTGTTTAAATGCCTCTGCAATCTCTTCCGACGTGATCAAACCATTCATCAATCCTTTTTGATCCTCAGAAAGACCAGGCAAATTTGCTTGTTGTAAATAATTATCTATTTCATCAGATTGTATATTCTCAGAGGCATACAGGTTAGAAAAATATTCCAAAAAAGCCCTTTTAATCAATTCTTGCTGAAAAACTTCTTTACCCTTATAGTTCATTTTCTCATTGTTCTTTCAACATTGCAATAGATGCCTTTAAATTCAATTGTAGATATATTCTTGTTATTGTTGTTCATTAATTGCTAACAAAACATTTTAGACTGAATGGTTATGCAATCATGTTGTATTTATTTCAACCAATGAATAAACATGTAAAAGCTTTTATTGTGTTTATATGGAACATTTAGTTAGAACAAACTCTAACCCTAATGGAGTGTGTGTATTTTGCAAATGCTAAACTTGGATTAGGCTTTTTTTGTGCTTTGTAAATGTTTTGTAAATCAAGCCTGTTTGCTTAATTTCTAGTTCAGTATATTGTGTGAATCCACAAATGGGTCAATTTAGTGTCCAGGGAAGTGTGTTCTTTACATGCAAACTTTAATTTCAAATCTATTTAAAAATATCATTTAATTGAAATAAATCTATTTAAGGATAATATCTTTAAAATATACAGTATGTTCTAGGAAATTTAGCTTGCTCCCCATCCATGCCACTCTGTCTCTTAATGACAGCTCACTCTTGTGTTGCTGGAACTGGTTATCCCCTGCCAAGGCTTCTTTTAGTGGCTGTATCAGGTCCTTGGTTAACGTTGATGATGATGCTTCCTACTGTCTCATGAGGGCCGGTGCTGCTAATTGCTTGGAGGGGATGATGGAGTTAACAACTTCTTCTTAAGCACTGTTGTATTGTGACATCTGGGAGAGGGTGTCTGCCAAGAAATTCTGACCTCCCAGTAGGTAGTGAAGGGTGAAGTTGAATTGGTTAAAGTATTGGACCCACTGGAGTCTTCAGTGCTTCTAATTTTTGTGGTCTGTCCACACTTCAAAAGGGATTTTACTGCCCTCCAAGAATTGCCTTCAAGTAAGGAGGGCCCAATGGACCACATAAGCTTCCTTCTCCCAGATAGCCTATCGTTTCTCAGTTTCAGAGAGCTTGTAGGAGGTGTAAGCACATGGCTATAATTCTCCCTTTGTGTTCTCCTGAAGCAGCAGCACCCCCACGGCCACATCACTGGTGTCCACTTGTATTACAAAGGGCTCATCAGGGTTAGGATGTTTTAGGGCCGGTTCGACATTTGAGACGTTTGAATTTTTCAAACACAGCTTGGCACCCTAGTGACCAATTTAGGGGTTGGCTGGTCCTGGGTTTAACTTCACCTTTCATCTTCAACAGGTTCATGATCAGTAGGGCTATCTGAGCAAATGTGGGGATGAACAGATGATAGAAGTTAGCGAAGCCAAGGAAACTTTGCAGTTGTCTTCTCACTTTTGGAGGCTCCCACTCTAGGATCACTTGGATCTTCTCAGGATCCATCTTTATGTCATCCTTCGAGATTCGGTAGCCTAGGTAGTCCAAACTGGTCTTATGGAAATCACATTTGGACACTTTCATTAAGAGCTGAACTTTCCACAGTTTCTCAAACACCACCCTGACCAACTTCACATGTTCCTCCTTGGTTTTGGTACAGATCAATATATCATCCAATACAGCAGGACCCCCTTGTACAAGTGCTCATGTAGGACCTCATTTATTAACTACATGAACACTGCAGGGGCTCCTTATAATCCAAATAGCATCACTCGGAATTGATAGCAACCCAGAGGGCAATTGAATGCTGTCTTCCATTCATTCCCCTTCTTAATTCTCAATTGGTAGTACGCCTTCCTCAAGTCTAGCTGTGTGAAAATTTTCCTCTTTGCAAGGTGGTCCAACATGTCCTTCATTAAGGGGAGGGGGTACATATTCTCCACAAATGCACAGTTTAGCCCTCTATAGTCGACGCACAACCTAAGGGACCCATCTTTCTCCTCTTTGAACAGCACAGGGGCCACCATTCTCGACTTTGCCAATTGAATGAAGCCCCTGGCTAAGTTTTTATCTATGAATGTTCGGAGCTCTCCCATCTCCTTGGGTGTCATAGAATATAGCTTTGGCTTTGGCAACTTTGCCCCAGGTGAAATTCCAATCGCACAGTCTGTGGGAAGGTGGAGTCGAAGCATGTTGGATTCCCTCTTGTCAGGTCCTGATATTCCTTGGGAATCGGGTTCTGAGCTATCAGTGTCTTTTAGTGTATTGGCTGTTTCCACTTTCACTTTCTTAACTGCCAACGTGTGGCAACTTCTTAGCACTTTCCCTAACTCTTGCCGATTAGATGCTTTTCTTCGCATCCACCATTTGTCTCTATCCCAATTGACAGGTGGGCTCCATTTTTTCCACCATGTCCAGCCCAGGACCATGGCCTCTCTCATCCCTGGGGCCACAATAAATCAAAGAGTCTCTATGTAGATCCCGGCTTTTAGCTTCATAGGCTTGGATAGGCTGGTTGCTGGGACTCCGCCCGTTATCGAACTGTCTAGCTAGGAAAATCCTATGGGTTTCCTTAGCTTCCTTAGCCTCATTCCTAGCTTCTCTACCACTTGGGGGCTGACCAGGCATCTAGTGCAGTCTGAGTCTAACAAAACTGTAATTGTCCCCTTTACTCCTGAGGAGGACATCTAAATCTCCACCCTACCATTCAAGGGGATGATGGTGCCACTTACCATCGGGTTGTCTTCTTCGCTGTCACTCTCTTAGAAGACTGGTCGTGACGGGCTGGAGTTCCCTCCTCCTTGTTGGAAAGAGGGGAGAACTCTGTGACCTGCTACGCTGCATGAGTTTGCTCTTTTGGCTTCTGTGCAGCTTTTTTCTTCTTTGTTTGGCTCAGAAGAGGGGGAGCGGTTGCTGGCCATGGTTTGAGGCATTCAGCAACTCAGTGTCACTCCTTTCTGCAGCGAAAGCTACCACCAAGGTTCTGGTGTGGTCTTCTTCCTCTGGGGTCGGGTCTCATGCCCAGTGTATTCATGGAATTCCATCAGGTTGATCTCCACCTACATGGCAACACGGTACCACACTTGCAGTTGCCCAGGCCAGGCAATTCTGGTACAGATTCTTGTTTAACCCCTCTCTGAAATGGTGGACCAGCATGTGTTGAGGCCAGTCTCCTAGGTAGCTGGCCAGATGGCGGAGGTTTTGGATTTACTCCGTCACCAGTCGCTTCCCTTGCTTTAGGGAACGGATACGGGCTTCTGCCATAGGGTCCTTGAATTGCTCTCATAGGGCTTGCATAAAAGCATTGAGGTCATGGCTTCCGTTTCTGTGCAGCTAGCACGACAGCTAAGGGATCGCGAAGATCCACGCCCTACAGCTGATTTTTTTCTGTTTGGGGACCCTAAATGGGCCCAAAGCCACCCTGGAGAGGTGGCAAGGAAGGAGAGAAGCCCCGCCAATCCTGGGAAGATGGTGGTCAATCCAGACATCTGGGGAAAGCTCTCCAAAAACTGACAGAAGAAAGGCTAGCGTCATTTGTGACTCTAGCCCAAGTTACATGCAGCCAAAGCCAAAAAGCACTAAAGTGTGATTGTGAACTGGGTAAGTATATTGATTCTCTCTCTTCTACCTGACTGATTTCCTGAAAAAAAGAGAAAAAAACCCAGAAGTAAAAATCCTCCAAATGTATCTGAGAGGTGCCACTACCAGTGCCCGTGCCGGGACCCCGGCTGCAAGCCCTTATGCCAGGGCCCCAACCATGGCTGGAAGAGGCATGTCGAAGACCACTGCCACTTGTGTTGAGGGTCCAATCACAGCTCTGGCTGCCAGTGCCACCGGCTGAAGTAAAGGAGGAAGGGGAGTCACCAGGCCTATTGGGGTTTTTCCTGGCGTTGTTGGTGCACGAATCTCCATCTCTCTGAACTTCTCTCTCAACTGCTCCATGGACTAATTGCAACCAGCAGTTGGGAGCTTCCACTCAGCGGGGTCGTTCCATTCAGTTAGTTGCCTTGCTTTCCATTTACTCCCTCAGACCACTTTGACTCTGGTAGGGAGAAGGGGGTCTTCATCCTCCACTGCCATGCCCACATTCGTCACCCAGCAGGTCTTCGGCCGCTGGTATGGGGCTTCCCTTACTCGCTCCTTTACAGCTGCTGAAACGTCTCAGGTTTTTGCTTCAGACATGTGCCAGCAGCTTGCATCCCTGCACTGGCTTGAAGCAGTGTCAGGTCTTCCTGAACTGGGATCTCTCCTGGCTTCTTTTTCTCATCTGTGTCTTTGGTCACAGCCAACATCTCTAGGTTGACTTCCTGGTGGAGTCCAAGTAGGTTATTACTGAGAGAACTGGCTTAATGTCAAGTGTCCCAATATGCTAGCCAGCAAAAGAAACTCCTGAGACATTTTTTTTCCTCCAAGAGTATACTTTACTGAAAAACCATGAAATAATAAGAAAGAAAGAAAGAAAGAAAAAGAAAGAAAGAAAGAAAGAAAAAATATAAAATGGTTTTTCATAGCTACTATTTGCTGCTATAATGACTTCCGAACAATGCTGTGTGAGACAACATGCACTGAAATTAGACTAGACATGCGGTTAGTTTCTTCAGTGCAGATTTAAAACTGAACTTGGTAATAAATACATGTCTGTATATATTGGCTGTGTTTGGTAGAGTAGAATGCTGACTACCATACCTCACATAGCATTATCCAAAAGTTATTTTACATACACAATATATTTTTGATTTTTTGTCAGATCTCAGAGCAACACAAAAACATTAAAGAAGAATGAATTATCACCAGATAGGGAAGGGGGAACTAATGGGAAAGTAAATGGGAAATGTAGGTTTAAGTTCACTAACTACGCTGTGAAATGTGTTGCAACTACGAACCATGGTTAATGCAGATATGCTCAGCTGGAGAACCCCAGTTACTGAATGAAAAAACAAAATAATGAAAACTTTTTGATAGATCAACGAGGATGCCAAATGCCTATTAAACAGGAAAGTATATTAATGTGGCAATCTAGGTCATTCACATAAAGTTATGTGATTTGTATAATGTTGTCGAAGTTAACATAAAATTAAGATAGAAATAATGTAATTTTAACTACACTACATTATCCAAACTACTTCAGATGGAATTGACTTGTCTGTCCTTTCAGGGGATAGAAATTGAGTCTGTTGAATCTCAATTCTACTTAATGGAGGGATTATTAAGTCAAGGTTTCACTGTAATTCTATTAAATCTTAATTATTCCTACTCCTATGTAGGTATTGTGCATATATTGCACTGCTCTATTACACCATAGCAGTGTTTTCCAACAAAAATGAATGACTAATTATATTTTTCAGCCTAATGTTACTGGTGAACAGAAAACAAAGCCTACTCAAAACAGTGTCCGTGCTTTAAGGGGACTTGGTCTTTCTCCTGATTTGGTGAGTTTAATACACTCTGCAATATTACATCTAAAGAAAAGTACACATTTATATTGTTAGAATAGAAGTGGTTGGTATGTTTATAGTTTCACTAACTTGCAATGTGTATAGGATATTATTTTTACTCAGGTGGCAAATCTGAGTGGGAATTTTATGATTAAAATTATACAAATTTGGTCTGTTATCTGTTAATTACAGCCAAATAGGTTTGCTTCATTTTTATATTAGATAAAAACTGCCTGATTAATTATTGATGGGTATAACATCTTTGCTTGAGGCATAGCATATTAGCTGAAATTTTAAACAGAAGCATATACAGGTTACCTGCCTGATGTAATTGCATTATATTTTTTGTTGCCCATTCTGTACATATTTGTTAAGCGGTGAATAAGAAAATATAAGTTTGACTAAATGCTTTTTTACAAAGATACTAGATATTACATGTTTAATCTTATTATACGTTTAATAAGATTCTGGTGTTTGATTTGGTGAAACAGGTCCTACATCATTTACTTGAATTAGGAAAATCTGCATAACTGAGGACTTTATTGGGCAAGATCAGAAGCAGCTGGTTTGGGACCCTAAAAATTTGTTACGTAATGATTCATAAATTTCAACTAATTTTCCCTGAAGATAAATAACTATCTCTCAGTTAAGAAGCACATGTAGAAGAAAGAGGCTGATTGTATTTGGTAGGAAAGTTTTCTTGGTTAGCAACTAGATGGTTTAAAAAAAGATAGGCACAACATAATATTAAAAGAGTATTTTTCAAATTCTTAAAAACTATAAAACACCTCAGGAAGTTTTCGGATGAAAGATATTGTTAGCTTCGAAGAGGGACCTTAAATTATTTAATTGGTGAGATTTGGAAATTCTATTGCTCGTTAGGATTTATTTTTATGAAAGCTGAAACTTTGCTTTTTCTTCTTTTCCCTTAAAAAATCTTTCAAAGCATTTTAATTTAGCAAAAAAAGGAGGAAAGTACTGCTTCTTGGAAAGTGTTATTTCCATAGTGTGTTACTAATCTGTTTATATCTCCTTACAGATAGTCTGTAGAAGCACTAAACCTATACAAATGGCTGTAAAAGAAAAAATTTCAATGTTTTGTCATGTAGAACCTGAACAGGTTTGTAGCATTCTTTTAAAAATAGTAATAATCACATTATAGTGTTAATGTTACACTCTGAAATCATTTTTATTTTTTTTGTTTTTAAATATTTTTCTTTTCTGTAGAGAAATATAAGAAAATAGTTGGATAATAGAAGAAAACAACAGCTACCTATTAGGGCATTCATGGGGATAATATCAAAATGAGGATGGCATGCTATTTTAAAAAAATCCAGCAGGCATCAGTGTTTTTATTTATTAAATTTATATAAATTTATATACCGCCCTATCTCCCTTACGGGACTCAGGGCGGTGAACAGGCGATACTAAAAACCACAATAATAAATAAATAGTTTCTGTGCTAAAATCAAATTAAATAACAGGCCTGTTCTAAAAACACCCCATACAAAACCCCCACTAAAACATAATCAAACTACGCCAGGCCGGCCGCA